CCCATAACATAATCGGAAAAAAATCAATATGGGTTTCAAAAGAAGAAAAACACTGCAGATACCATACATAATACATTGAACAGAGTATACAGGGAGCGAGGCGAAAACAAATCGATTGTTACAGTGTTTTTGACTTACAAAAAGCATTTGATTTTGTGGTCCATGGTGCCTTGTAAGCCAAGCTAGAGAGACATGGCTACAGGGGTAAAATAAACCAATAGATTTGTTGATATCTGAGACAGCGCGAAAGCAGATAGATAAAAAAAAAGCGTGGACTCGAGGGCTGAATAATTAAGCATTGGCGCTATACAGGGATCAAGACTGGGTCCACTTCTGGTTCTTCTGTTCATCAACGACCTCAATTCATTGCCTATTATAAGGGTCACATAACGTTATTTGCAGATGATACAACCATCACTTGAGTCGATGCGAACCCTAAAGAGCTGTACAGTACAGACTACAGAACAATATAAACAGAGATATGCTAATGCAACAGAACTGTTTCGCATTGGACACAAATAAATGCAAGGTAACCAGTTTCAATGCAAACCACTGCAGTTATTGTTGAGGTAAATGGCAGAAATCTACAGAGGGTCGAGGAAGTCAAATTTCTGGGAGTCACAATTTAGGAAAACGTTAAGTAAGTCCAGCATATTCTACTTCTGTTAAAAACTGTATCGAAGGGCCTCTTCGCAATAAATACAACGCATAGAGATTTATATAGATACAGGTGTATCATTCCTTGATCGAGAGCCATCTCCGATATGCGATAACTGTATGGGGCTTTACAAATGGCAACAATATGGAAATTATATTCCTACTCCAAAAATGGACAATCCGTACCTATTTGAAAGGATATAAAGAGTCAACGTACATCCTGCAGACCGCTGTTCAAGGACTGGACCTCCTCATTTTCGAAGTTATCAGAAAAATCCATAAAGCCAGGCAAGAATTGACATAGTCAGGAGTAATTTGCATTCGTACAATACTCGACAGACTGAAAATGTAGTCACTCCATTATCCCGTCTAAGAATCACACAAAACTCAATGATTCCAACTTTATAACGAGCAGTCTGACGGGTGGAAAACCAAAAAACGTTTGGGGCTAAAGGCCAATATCAAATGTCAAGGAGTTATTTGGAGGGCGAGGCTCACTACAACATCAAAGAGTATATTGAAAAAATCATAAGTTTTATAGAGAGGGGGACCTAGTCTCGTTTTTGTATTATACAGCAAATTATGCCTTTTTAATAGATGTGACTTGACTTGAATAATACCTGGGAAGTTATTATTACCTCCAGCCAAGGGAGTGTAGAGGAGGTAAAGAGTATATTATTGAAAGTGTTTGTTGAACAAAATCTGAGAAAATATCAAGGACATCTGGAAAAGTTTGAAGACATCCGAGAAAGTATTTTATGGGGGAAGTTTAAAGAAAGTCTGATAGGGGAAGTATCTAAGCAAAATTTATTCGCATAAACACTAGAAGATTGTCGTTAGAATTCTTCAGAATTGAGAATATCCTGTTCCAGATAGAACCCGCAACAGCTTCTGATCAAAAACTCTTATCCTGAATCCATTCTTATATTCGTAGAACTTCTAGTTTCTCTTTCTCTACCTAATACAATGGGCGGTATGAATAGAAACGAAGTATCTGCTACTACTACAATTATTAGAAGATTCTCCGTAGTATTTACTTCAAAACGAAGTAGATACGATACATTTCGAAACTACTGGAATTTCGTAAATCCTTTTTTCTGAAGTAAAAACTACGTAGAGTATACTAATACTTGTAGTAGGTAGTAGTAGTAGGTACTTCGGTTTTATTCACACCATTCATTAACTTTGAAAGAAATCATGTGCAGCGCCGTACACGTGGTAGAAGTGCAACTTCTCAGAGACTATCCCCCCTCATACAACTTATAGACTTAGAGTACCTAAGTATGAGTCGGGGTAAAGACGAAGGGAAACGCGCATCTGTAGTAACGTCACAAGGTTATCGGCGCTTGACAATAATGGTTTATAATCTTTGGTTTGTTTCAATCGTTCGTCGGCTCTCATTGTTATTGGCTGTCTTTCTCCGTTCCTCTACGTTATATATTTTTCCTCTCTCGTTTTACGAAATTTGCCAAAACGCGACGCGTCTTCCAAATCACTCTCCATTCTCGTCAAATATTAGACCGCTGCCCAAGGTTCCTGAAGTTAATAGGTTGTCTGGTACTGGGTAATATGATGTTGCATCTGGGGTGCCTTTGCCCTAAGGAGGCATTATGTTGAGGCACCCAAGATAAGTCATAAAGGTTCCCATTACCGAAAGCTTCTTGACGCATCTCGGATGCCTTATGAAGATTTACATTATGTTGAAGCTCCTCAGATGACGTCATAAAGTTATACCGCCTCCTAAGAAGTTTCACTTCAAAAAGCACAGGACAGAAATGTATAAATAACGAAAATATTCATAAAACACAATTATGATAGTATAACAAAAGGGAGGCGCACCTGTATGCCACAAAGGTATCGGCGCTTGATAGTAAAGGAAATCCTCTTTGTGCCTATAATTCTTGATTTGTGGCAATCAATACATGTTTTTCTCCGTCTTTAATATCATTTTTGATAATATTTTAATAATTTTAATATACTTACATATTGACGGTTAACGGATATAATAAAGAGAATCACAGCACACAAATGTATAAATAACCGAAATAATCATAAAACACAATGATAATAGTATAGTACAAGCAAAAGGAAGCCGGGCATCTGTAGTGACGCCATAAGGGTATTTGCGCTTGTCAATAATAGGCAATCCTCTTTGCGCTTATAATCCTTGGTTTGTGTCAATCTATAACTGACTTCCTCCGTCTGTTTACGTTATATCATTCTTCTCTATCGAGTAACGAAATTTGCTTGTGACGCGTTTTTCAAATCACTCTCCATTGCTTAGACAAGCTCCATTGTCATCCAAATATCAGACCGCCGCCTAAGAAGTTTCACTTCAAAATTTGAAATTTTTTTAATAAAATCTTATTTGGCTTTCAAAAAAAAAGGAACTATAGTTTAAAATATAGGACAAAATTCATACTACCAGCTCAAAATCTTTAATACGAATCTGTATAAGACCAAGGAAATTGCAATGAGGGGTTTTCCTATGGAGATATTTATTTATTTGAACAATCTGTGTATACCTTTAACACACTTATTTGCAATGAATGTTCAATCTTCTATAGTTAAACAAAAATAAACTCTCATACATAATCTGTGCATCTAGTAATAGTTTGTATAGATGAAATTGACTCTGGCCTGTAAGCGAAAGTAGAGGCCCATCCCCCGCTTGTTCTAATTCATTTGCAACGAATAACCTTTGATGAGACGTGTTTAGAGCTCTCTGACTCGGCTGTTAGTGGATGGAAAACGTTTAATATCATAGCAGCAACGTCGAGAAAGGCATCGTTAATCTTGCACTGCCTACTCTGAATGTAATTATTCGGAATATAGAGACCCGGAGTCGAGAGTTTCAGGGAAAAACGTGGAATAGTTGCCGAATAGACACCCAAAGACGGATTATATGTTTTAGAATTTACGTATAAATTATTGTCTATAGTTGGCATACTAACAAGTAGGTATATTTGCATCTTTGCTGAGGCATAATGTGGTTTTTTCTTAGCAACGATTAGACTCAAATAGTTGACGATCTGACAGCAATGGAATCAGAACTTGAACTTGCCGTTTTAGTGTAAACTTCTGATTCAAACGAATATCTAGAAGCTAGAAGTCAGGGGTTGGTATCAAACTAACTTATACAGAATTCTTCAGGCACATTCATAAAAATAGAATACAAGTCAATAGACAAGTTGGACAAAAATTTCGAACTAAGATAGCAAGTAATTCCTAAATTGCTTCTGGACCAGGGCCTCCAGTAGGCGGTAGTTCAAGTACCTATTCAAATGGAAATTTTGCCAAGTTGGAACTTCCAGGAAAGTTGCAGCAATCTGGAAAAGTGTTTAGGTTGAGTTTCAAGCATCTTACTCTGGAACAAAGCCACTAACTTGCTAAGTGATGCAGTTTTTGATCCAGGTAGTTTATGGTTTAAAAATTTGATTGTTAATTTAGTTCCAAATTCTATTGAAAGTACTTCGGCCGGGAAATTAGGATAATATTTCCGAACGAAGGAATCAAACGGCTGTCGGGGTTGGAATCTGGAAAGGAGTAGCGTTTCCAACGGAAAAGAGTGAAACAGAGACCGATTCGCTATCCGGGAATTCTGTAATTTGGCGTGGTTACGATGCTGATTGATCGTTCGGGCTTGTCACCACCGAAAGCGATATAGAGAAATTTCCATTAATTCCTGTCCTTAGAGGCTTTGACGCTTCGTCTAATATTAGAACTTTAGTTTAGTTTAAACAAAAAAATATGAGCCATTATATTAAGAAAAACAAGAATCTCGTTATAACTCGAGTTCCATGAAACCATAATTTAATAAAGACTTCGACCAGATATGTACATTTAATTAAACCACAAATAAACCACATCCTACGTTGTCCCGACCAATACCACGTATTATATTTACCATTTAAAGAGGGCCCTCGCCATCGGTAAATACTGTGCCAGTACAAAATAAGAAATAAACACGTTAGCGCGGCTCGTCGGAAACTACAATGCCGGAATCAAAGATAAATATCAATCAAGTTATAAGTGGTCATCTTGTGTGCATTAACCGCATATCTGAGTAATTAACAGGTTGGCTCGAACCCTATTTGGTTGGAGTCCAACGTCCGGACTATAAAATGTTGTGTCAATATTGGTCTTCACTTTCTTGAGAATATCTCCTCGAAGAACTCGAAACTATCAATATTAACTTTGTTTTAACATTCGGTGTTAGTTTATATCAGTCTTCTTTGCTTGTATTAATGTTCTCATATACGCTGCGGCATTTCTTTTCGAATTAATATACATACTTACCGACATTTTTAGGAAAAATTGATGAGAAAAAAAAAACATAATGTTTCAAGATTTTGATCTATATATTTATTATACAAAAATTTAGCAAATTTAGGAAGGCAATATTTACCTAATCCAAATTTAATATGCTACATATACATATGATCCACCCAAAATTAGAATCGGATTGATGTTGGATGAAACCATTATCACAGAAGATTATTAACAGATATCACAATAAGAATAGTATGTTTAAAGGTAATAATAACAATAAAACGAATAAATGAATATGGTTAACAAAATAATATGCTCAATTTGAAGAAAAGTTCACTTTTCCTTTATTGATCCTGACTTTTCAAGGAACTGCGACCTAAAAAAAAATCAAATTGCTGTTCATATAAACTCAAATAATCCGCAGTTACTCACCTTTATATCCACTTTTCCAAACAGTGTCCCTCAAATACGAAATCTCTCCGTTCTCGTTAATGTCCTGCACCAAACTGTTAAAGCCCAATTCACTGGCCAAACGATATTTGACAAAAATAGATTCCAATTGTTCCAAAATGTATTTGATGTTCTTAAATTCTAGAACTGTGAACTCTTTTTTCGATGTCATTTGTCTGGCTGGAAATTTCCTGACAATATCTTGAATCAGTTCATCGTTGAGGCCTATGGTTTCTTTAAACTGCTCGAAATAAGCCATATTATTGTTTGTTACCGCTTGTTCGTAGAGGATTTGAGCCCAATCTGGAGATACGTTGTAGGCTTGAGCCAGAATATTGGACTGATGGAAACTATAAATTATTTCATTAGTAATTTCAAATTGGTTAGTTGAAGGTACTAACTTTAGGTCATTGCTCATCAGTTTTGCTATCTTAGAGACGCTCAAATTGAGCAGGCAAGGCACTCTTTCATTATTGCCTACAGTGCGAAATAAAGACAACTGTAGTACTACTATTTCTGCTTGCTTAGCAGCGTTCATGGCGTTGCTCAGTTTTTCACCTCTAGTGTGAAACTGGGCTGCGTTAAAGTAGTTATCACGAGCCTAAGGAATAAGTTTGTATTTGCTGCAATTATTTCAAAAGTATCTTGATATTTCTCTTGAATCGCTTAACGAATTGGTTTTCTTAGGAAAAATGTTTTCCATAGAGGAATGAATCGCCATTGTTTTTGCTATATGCTGATATTAGTTTACAGAAAACCATAGCCGACAGAAATCCGATTAACGATTTCGATAAAACAAGACGATTTTATCGTTACTTTGCCTCATCTCTATTCCTCAAATCTAAGGCAGCTTTACAGTAATGATCAAATAGTCCCTTGTGGGGAAAAACGTGCAAAGCAAAACTTACCGAAATGGTTTTTAATAATCCGAAATCATCGGCGAAATTATGGCACTTTACGAAAACGTAACGCAACGTAAGGCAACTCAATGTAGCATAAATTCAATAACAGAAAATTAGGTCCAAAATCCCCTTTGGGGCGAAGGCAAAAATTAAATTCTTCAAGAGAGACCCTTTTCTCGGAAAAACCAAATCGTGAAAGAAAGGTTCACGGTTCACCAAAAGGAGTTAATGAGCTGCCCTAGATTTGAGGAATAGAGATGAGGCAAAGTAACGATAAATGTCAAAAATAAATCAGGTTAAATTTTAAGTAGGTACCGAAAATTGCACACAACAATATAATTAGAAAAAAATTACAACAGCTGACGACTAATGATAACAACAACAAGAAATTAACCAAGTTCGGTCGTTTCTAATACATAACACTATCAAATCGTGGGGTCGGAATCCGGGCACAGGAGCTGTAACTAATGAATATTGTTCGGGAAGGGGGCGAGCAAAGTGTCTAGATTAGGTAATTAGTATCAGAAATTAAAGAATTTGAGACAGAAAGACTTTGAAGATGTCTTGAAGACATTTACCTTAAACAAGTAGAAGTTATGGCAGGTCAAATCTGAGAAATTGATTTAGGACAGAATTACGGCAAAAAACTTTTACAGAGGCTTGAAGCCGAAAATGAAATCGTCTGACAAATTGGAAGATTTGTTTAACAAATAAAGTGGTTCATCGAAAAAATGTCAAGAGACTTTTGAAACCCTGATATAAGTGTCTACCTTATTCAAAAGCATAATTGTCCCATCGCTTTTCGTTAAAACTTCAGCCTCGAGAGACTCCATATGTACGCCACTATTTTGCATTTCTGCCACAGCTAAATCCAGTAAATACTTTAAAAATTTCTGAGCCTCTCGTTCCCAAACCATCGCAACGTCTGAATACATATTGAAATGAATAGCCACTAATTCGTACAACTTTTTATCTTGTGGACAGTATTTTTTCAAATATTCAATGCAGGCTAGTTTTAGTCTTTCATCCCTCTTCGAACCTTTACTTAGCAAAAACTCGAATTGGTCGTTTTCCTTGAGTATCTCGAAAACAAAATTCAGCTCGGTGTATCGTCCGACTCCTGGAAATTGATTAGGAAATCGACTGCTTCTGTAAATTTTGAGTTGCATTACCTGTGAGCAATCGAACTATGAGCTTCCAGCTGCGCACGTTCAACAAATGAGAAATGACTTTGCGACATTTTTTTAAAATAGTGGAAATTCCCTCCATGTTACAGTCTGCCGTAAAGCAGCTGTGCGCAGCAATTAGCAACTCGACAACTAGAGACATTTCGCTAATTTTGAAGTTGGAATCATTGGCAGCGACCTGTAAAATGTATTAAAATCTCTTCCAATTCAAGATTATCTAAGTACCTGCTGCTCGTGGAGACTATTAGCATGACCATAAAATTGATACCCCAAAGTGGAACACTCTCCTTTGATTAATTTTAAAACCAAATGAAACTGGTCTCCTACTTTAATATCCCACATACTAAAAACGTCTATTTTTGATTTTGAATAAGTGGATGCGGCAGTAACAAATTGATTGCATATAAAATTAGTCACCTAAAACAAACATCTCTAATAAAATAATACCCCTCAACAAAACCTTTACTTCTTCTTTGGACCACTCAAAAACCTCGAAGAAATCATGAACAACTTCCAATTTGTTTATGCAATCGTCTTGCAAGGCATCTTTCAACATTTTAATGGGATCCGTATTCGATACAACAGTGTCATAAGGCACTTCGATGTTGGTACTGATTCTGTATTTCATGAAAACCGTGTAGGCTAAATTGGAACCGTGAGATAGTTTTTCTATTAACAAGTGAATAAGTCCTTGAGTGGCACGTATTGAAGGTTCTGTTTCTTCTTCTAATATATCCAAAAAGTTTCCATCTAAAATTTATAACACATAATTCATGGCTTTCACATTTCTATCGTTAATATAGTAATATGTAGTTAATGTTTTCCAGGCTTGTGAGTCAGAATCAAAGAGAATGATTAAAAAAATATCAACACTATTTCAGACGCGTACATCGGGATCTCATCATGATTTTGGAAGTATTTTCCACGTGTTTATAGGTACAAAAACAGAGGTTTGCTTAACCTTAATGATTGGCTTTTGATGCGAGCTGTTCTTCTGGATCTCCTATTTATCCAGCTACTTCTTATGTCCTAGACATTTAGCTAGATAGTTCATATATTGCTCATAAATAGAAGTATACTTCTAGCATTTGTTCAAAGTATATCGTTGTATTATGATGACCTTATCCAGTTGATGCGTCAAGTCATCGTTTTTCCACTACAGTTGACCAGATTCTTCTGTTGTTATCTATCCAGACATTGGTAGGTTCTTCCAACTCTTGTTAGGTAGAGAGATAGAGTATCTCTGAAGGATGTTTCGAAGATTAGGTTGGCTAAAGGATTTGGTGGCTATTCGTTGCTGTTAGACATTTTCGGCAATACTCCTTTCTTTCTTGTTGGTTTATATAGCCACACTAGATCACCTTATTGAAATCCGGCTGAATTGGCTTTCAAGTCGTATATGGTCTTCATTCGGTCACTGGCTATATGTTCCCGGGCAAAATCATGTAGCTCCAGAAGTCGTGCCCTTATTTCGTTAGCATAATCTCGAGAATTTCTTTTCGTTCTCAGGTATTCCAAACATCGGATCGCAAGGTTACATGAGTTTCCTTCCAAGAACGATTCTAGCTGGACTTTCACCTGTTGACTCGTGAACAGCTGATCTGTGAACCATTAAAAATAGAGGTAAATGTTTGTCTCAATCTCATTGGTTCTTTGCGACCACTTTTGTCAGGTGTTCCTCTATGGTCTTATTAAATCGTTCTACCATGCCATCAGACTGTGGATGTCTTATGAATGCCCATGATCTCACAAATCTCGCAAAACCGACGTTGTACTCTTTCATGGGCCATCGAGATCTTGGTTTAGGGCCTTTACTGGTAGTACAGATGTCGCATTTTCGATACTAGTTTTTAACGTCTGCATCATAGTGACCCCAGTAAAAATGTTCCCGAATTTTGTCCAACGTCTTGTTAACTCCAAAATGTGCCCCTGAAGTTCCGTCATGTATTTTTATTAATACATCTTCTACTCGATCTTTTGGAATAACCAGTTGGCTCTTAGTAGATTTTCTGTCGGCACTTTCCCCAATTTTTTCCAGTAAACCATTTTCTACGGCCAGAGAGTTTCACTGAGCCCACAATGCCTTGTAAATCAACCACTTCCCTCCATTCTGGCATACATTCATCATTTTCTTCAAGATGTAGAAATTGCCCGATATCCTGGTCTGCTACTTGATCTGCTCTCACTGGTTTGGTAGTCCATTTGTCATCAACGATTAGACCTGTTCTTCTCACAGCGGGACCAGTGTTTTTCTCATGCATATCGATGCTTTGACAATGCTTGCAATCTTCTTTACATGGCCGTCTAGATAGAGCGTCAGCATTTTTATGCAGGTTTCCAGGTCGATGTTTAATTTGGAAATCGTATTGCTGTAATTTCCCAATCCATCTAACAAACAGTTCTTCGAGAGTTTTCATTTCTAAAAGTCATTTTAGAGCCGCATGATCTGTTCAAATTAGAAACTTGCGTCCGTATAGAGATACTTATGGAAATGGTCGACTGCTTTCACTATAACAAGCAACTCTCTTCTGGTGATACAATAATTTCGTTCTGGCTTTGATAAGGTTCTGCAGTAGTACTCTACGACATACTCTTGCGAATTCTGAATTTGTGAAAGGACGGCGCTAATACTGGTGTTGCTTTATCCAAAATCAACATGCTTTTCTGATCGAGATAGGACAGTACTGGGCTTTGTACATAATGCTCCTTTCAATTTTCTAAAAGCGGAATCGCATTCTTGGCCTCGATGCTGCTATATCAGCGAATCCTTCTACAAACCTTCGATAATAAGAACATTATCCTAGAAAACTCCTCAATTCATGTTTGTCACGTGGTTTTCGCCAATCCCTGACAGCATCTATCTTTCCTTCCATAACTTGTATGCCATTTTCAGATACCACGTGACCTAAGAATTCCACTTTCTTTTGAAATAGAAAACACTTATCTGGATTGAGTTTCAAGTTGGCATTCCGGAAGCGGTCAAAAACTTCTTTCAGGTTATTGAGATGTTCTTGGAACAAATTTCTCATGATCATGACATCATCTAAATATACCAGGCAAGTTCTACATATGAGGCCTCGCAAAATTAACGCATCAGTCGCTCGAACGTTGCTGAAGCATTGCGCAGTCCAAAAGGCATTACGTTAAACTGGTATAACTCGCTTCCGGTACTGAAGGCAGTTTTCTCTTTGTCATTTTTGTGTATTGCCACTTGCCAGTATCCACTCTTAAGATCCAAGGTGGAAAACCACGTGGAACCCGATAGAGTTGTTAATGTATCGTCTATCCTCGGGAGAGGGAAGCTGTCCTTCTTGGTGATGTCATTGAGCTTACGGTAGTCCACACAAAATATAAGACTTCCATCTTTCTTTGTAACCAGTTTTTCTGGCGCAGACCATGGCCCATTTGACTCTCCAATAATTCCTTCTTGAAGCATTTTATCAATTTGGTTTTCCACTTCCTGTTGTTTAGCTACTGACATACGTCGTGGGGGTTGTCTAATTGGATGTTCCAATCCAGTATCAATTTTGTGTTGAAACAAACTGGTCCGTCCGGTTTGATTATCCATCACAAATACGTCCGCTTCTTTCAAGATGAAATCTGTGGCTCCAGAGGTTTGTGGCCAGGATCTTGAGATTCTGAGGATCGAAAGAGAAACCCTGTTTGCCCATCAAATCCATTCGCAATATAAAATCATCTTCTACATCGGCGATTGATGTTCTGTGCCAGAAGCTGAAAGTTTCTGAGTTATGCGTGACAATTTCTCCGCATTTCTCTAAAATGAATATGATGACAAATACTTCGTTTCTTGGCAGCGCACAAGCCCAAAAAACATTAACTACAACGAAATCCTCACCTGATGACACGCTATTACTCTTATACAACCTCCGTGTATGACTCAGGCTCTGCATCTCCTTCACCCGCTCAATAATTTTGTATTGTTCCTCTCTTAACTGATGGGGTAACACTAACCCTTCAGCTAATTCATGACAAAGTTTCAAGATATCCAAATCGTGACTTTGACAGCCAAACATTCTTTCCAGTTTCAAGGCCAACCAAAAGTTGCCTTTATCCAATGCCCGAGTTAAAATATCGCCGAGCTTTTCCGAATAATCGGTTACTAAAGCTACTTGAGGTGGTTCGATGGTGTTTAAAATATCCAACATTTCTTTATATGTAGTGTAATTTTTGTTCAAGTTTATGTCGTCTAATTCGGTGATGTTTATTTTATCTGGAATTTTTATGTAGGCGAGGATTTTTTTGCGTTCAAGCTCATAGCGACTGTTCAAGTCATACTTTGAAGCCCATTTATGCGAAAATTTAAGCAAACAGTATCTTTCCAAGTCATTTATACTGGCCCGTTCTTTGTAAAATGATATTACACATTCAGGGGAGACTTTTTGCAATTCAAAATCTTGGTCACATTTAGTTAGGAACTCTTCTGTAATTTTGTTTCTGTTAAACCTATTTTGCCATTTCCTCAACACAATTAAATCTGTATTGATGTTAGAATCTTTTGCTATAATAAGAGCTTCATCGAATAAACTGATGTTTACTAGTTCGTTTATACATATTTGAATAGCCTCTTGTTGTTTTGCTCCATTAAAAAAATCTATTAGATTCAGACTGATGCCAGTATCAAACAAAGTCCTCATAATAACCAATAAATTTTCAAACTTTGGCACTTCACATGAGAAATAACTTTGCAAATCAACCGCGCATAATAATTCAACAAACTTAAGTTGATCAAACAAGGAACTAGTATTATAAATGATGGCCGAGCATAGTAGTTGCAAAGCGGTTGCTTCCAGCCAAATTTTATTTTTCAAATAAGTCATTTCGTAGTCGGTTTGACTTAAAACGCTTGCGCGCCTGGTGCTTTTAGACGATTTGAATTTTTCTAGTTTAGGTGTAAGGAAATTGATGGCATAGTCTCTTTGAATTGCTTGATTTAGAAAGTCACAAAATGATGGTAAGGGGTTTTCCTGGAATTTAATTGTTAAAATGGATCACCAATTTGGGAAGACATTTGTTTACTTACAGGTATAAATATGGCAAAACTTTGAAACAGAGTCTTGGGGAATTTGTTTTTCATACAGTTGTCTAGAAGATCGGTAACCCTTTGACTGGAAGCGCTCATTGATTCAAAATTAGTGAAAACCTCATTCAAATCAGTTGAAACGGCTAGCCATGTCAGCCAATTGGTTATAACAGAATCAGGCTACAAAATAATTTCTTAAAACATATACCTACATAAAAAATAAATCAGTTTCTTACCTCATAACTTGTAGCTAAAATAGCCAGCAAAGGAGTCCGATAAAGCTGACAAGCTTGCAATAAAGCTCTCGGTGGATCGCAACTATTATGACACCTAATCAGAGTTTGTAGTAAAGTGGCTTTTGTATTTGTGATATCAATTTCCAAAAGCTCGCTTCCTGAAGAACTGATATTGCCATCATCAAAGCTTCCACCGCTTAAAGTAGATCTAGATCTCAAAGATCCACTGGCTACTAGGGAACTTTCCATACTTCCGCGCACCCCTATTCTTGACAACCAATGCTTTCTCACATCTCTTTGTTTCATCAGAACATTCGTTTCATCTACTTGAATATCGTTTAAAACACTATGGACAACGTGTTCTAGTATGTTTGGATTCTTGAAGTGCGAGCACATTTTTTTGATATCATCTATAGGGTAATTTTTAATTTGGGCATAAATCAGGAAGGGCAGCCATAAGTTATTTTGCGCCAAGTGTCTCAAAAAGCTTTCAGGTAATGGTAAACTGTACAACAAGCTGAATTTGATAACGATATCATAGAGCCTTATGGCTTTGATGAATTCAGATCCATGAAGTATTTTGGTAAAGTCGATGAACTTAATTATGTTTTCATCCAGAAAAGTTTGAACTACAAGACGATTTTCTTCAATGTTCAATGCTAAAGCTACTATATTGTCTACATCCATGCCTGTTTGATACAAAATATTGCAAGCTTTAATGCTAATCCTTAAAAATTCCGAATTAATGCCAATAATTTCCAAAAAAGCAATGCAACCGCTTGTTAAACTTATATCTTGAAAGTTCTTAATAGCCATCCTGTAAACTTTATTCTTAGAAATATTTTTATCAATATCTTTATAATCCTTAAGTAAGTCTATGTAGAATTTCTTGGCAGCCAAGCTAGGTCTGTGTTGCTTCAAATAGAAGCTAAAACCTAATTTTTTTGAATAAGCATAGTTTTGTCTTAAGTCAAAATTTGTAAAGCTTGGCAACGATTTGTCTTCGAAGTAATAGGCAAATGCCTTTTTAACGTTGATTTTTAAATGTTTTTCGATTAAATCGAAATAAGTTAGGCTGCAACTTACACCTTTGGTTTTCCGAAAATATAAACTTGATACAACTTTAAGCTGTTTCATTATGCTTGACAAGCATGGAAATAGTTCTTTGTCATTGAGTATTAGAGATTTCTCATGTATGGCTTCTTCTAGGGAAATATTTTCATTGAAAATAAGTAAACTTAAAAAAATCAATGGGTTATCGCAAAAATATTTATCTAAGTCATCATCAGTGGATAAATACTGAGCCACTTTAAAAATGTTTTCTTTCAAAGTTGCTTCCTCAAAGTCCATAGTTAAATTTCTAAAATCCTTCATTAAATTAAGATGTTCATTATCTTTTAGTTTGGGAATAATTGTTAAATCGAAATTGCTTGTACAGGCATTCAAAACAATTAATAAATCTTTGTCCAAACAGTAATCTATAAGCATTGGAATGAATTTAATTAAAGGCAAATTTGAGTGAGTTTTGCCTAAAATTTCATAAGTATTCACTAGACTATCGCTAGCGTCAATTCTAGAAAGAACCTTTATAAAATCCGATCTTTCTTCATCAATAAAAATCCCATAGAGTGCCAGCTCGCTTAATATTTTTTCCAAATTCTCTTTAGGCAACTGGACTCTAGTCAGATCTTGTATCATAGTTTCGGTTATAGGGAATGATTTTAGTATCACCAAAATATTTTCTGGAACATTGGAAATCTCAGTGTTTGATGAAAAAGCAATCTGAATCCAGGCTTTGAGTAAATGCTGCTCGTTTGTTGCTAGGAGTAGATTCCAAAATACTTCGGATTTTATCAGTGGAATTAGACGGGAATCTGGAAATATAATGAATGGGTGTTTATTTGACAATGATGCATGCTATTTGATGTAGGTATGTATGGGTGAACATTTTGAAATTTTATGGTAACAGTATATTTACTCTTTTAATTTCTCAGTTCTGGTTCCTATCCTAATGAGAGGCTGGATTTGTCACAAACTAAATATATTAACACTTTTAAAAAAGAGATAGGTCTAATATACAACTACATTATTTCCAATTCCAAGCGGCAGTAAATGACATTGATATAACCTAAATTGTAAACAAACACCAGCCTTTCTATTGGTTGAAACGCTCTACCTGGACTAGTTCCCATGCACGGAGGACATTTGATAGGTTGTAATGAAAACCAGTTTGTCATTTACTGCCGCTTGGATTTGGAAATGGTATAGACGTTTAGTCCAGTATGAGCTGTTCAAAATTGGTTTCTTGCGTGCCTTTTGGGTATGCAGGCAAGCGATTTTTTTTTAATTAAAATTTGTATTGTAAAGAATTACCAAGTCCAGTCGGAACGTACAGTACGAGAAAATAAAACCAACTGATTTTTTGAGCGGTTTCAAAGGCATTTTATTTGCGTCGTTTGGAACAGCGAGAACATCAGCACTATTATTATATTATATTTCACGCTATTTCCGGATATGATATAACCAGAAGTTCCTATGAAAAGAGAAAGAAAAAATTTCGGAAAGCCCTCTGGAATGCTAATCAAAACTTAACAGTACCTACTTGAAAAATTCATTTGCCAAGTATTTTCACCAAATAGGAAAACTTCTATGGAGGAATCTTTTTCCCAAGAAGCAGCTTACACACATGTTACCTCCAATCAGACCCTCTTTGATAAGAGCTTTGAAACGAGCTCATTATCAGGCGTTAATCTGGAACAAATGCGAAGACAATTTTCCAGATTTGAACCACTTACTGAGGTCGGCTGGTTATTTCAAAATAGAAGCTTTGTTATATTATATAGTATAATATATTTATTTATTCTTAGGTAAGGTAAGTGTACCATATTCTGGCACATTAAGCAAACAAGTTTCCAAAAACATGAATAACAGCTCCTTATACTTACTTTAAGACTTTTATTTTATTTCAAGCAGTCAATTTAATATCTAAGGACATATTTATGCCTCTCAGATATTGTTTTGATCATGGGCCAAATTTTTTTTTAACGGTTTTTAAAAACACGATCTCAAATCTGACATCTGCAATTCAGGAAAGTACCTAATTCAAACAGTGTTCTTCAGTATCCAATTCTGACATAGGTAGTGCTTTATACCAGTGGCGGCTCCTATATCATAAATGTGGGGGTTGCAATTCTAATTTCAGCCTTATCAGATAATGATCGACCACAGAATGGCTCTGCAATTAAATTTTGAACATTTTTTTTGTCACGCACCACACCACAAAATAAAATAAAATATTTTAAAACAAACCTAATCTGCGATGCGCGCAAAAAAGTGAAGAAAGTTTGCACTTCGCTTGCAACCTGCTGGAGCTTATGGGACGGAATTGAAATCCACGCGTAAATAGGCACCACATATACGCCGTCATATAAGCCGATCGGGTTGCATTCGAGCTGCAATCCGTCGCGGCGGCGTGTCAGTTATTGCCATTTTGGCGAAGGTGGTCAAATTATTTTAATAAATTAACTGCGGAACAGCTTCTCGCGTAATATGTAGGTACCAAATTCTGGTATAATTTATTTTTAAAATATTATTAGGTACTAAAATATTAGTTCTTTTTTGTTTTATTGTTTCCAACTTTTGTTTTGGGGGTTGCGCAAACCTTCAAACCTTAGGAAGAGCCGCCACTGCTTTATACCGACATATTCGGACGCCTAAACTGTCATCGACATATTTATTATTAATTACCTATTTAATAGTATATTAAAGTATAAGTGGATATTAAGGTCTTTAAAACACGCGCGATTTTTCGAGCACGACGGCGCAGCCGGAGTGCTCGAAATAGAGCAAGTGTTTTAAAGACCAGTTATCCACGAATACTTTACACTATTTTTTTTTATTGATACCTATACGTTCAAATCAAAAATTACTAATAATTGTGGAATGCTAAATTCGTTGACACTTGCTATATTTTACTTGACGTTGTCTACAAGTACCTACCTACTCCTGACAAATCAATAATTAAAAAGTTGACATTTAGACCTTTCTCGGGCTGTTGGTTGTTGATGTTGTCATTAGTAACTTTAAAACACGCGCGTTTTTGAATGTTGGATTTAAAAACGCTCAGGAGTACTTTAAATAAGTGAAATGGCTTATCAATAAAAAAAAATTGTTTTTTTGTGCAACCATCCGCGAGATGAGCTTTCGCGGACCCCACACAGTCCGCGAAGTTCAATTTCGCGGCCGTTGCCCTTGGTGACGGCCGCGAAACTAAAAATCAAAATTTGACACTTTGACAACAGCTTGACAACAAATAAATTTTATTTCCAAATTCTTCACAACGACATACATTATTTAGGATAAATATTAACAGTTATATGACAGTTAGAATTATTACTAATATTTACTCCTGAAGTTGAAGCAACTAAATCCAGTGTTTTTGAATAATTATTACTAACATTGGAGCTAGAAGCTATACTGCCAGAAATTGAATTAGAAATTTTTTTCTTATTTTCGATGGAGTCCTCCATGTATCCTTCCGCTACTGTGGTGGATTTCCACCCACCGTGGCGTTTCAGAACTGACATATCGGCACCGGTATTTGCGAGAAGTGTAGCAGAGCTTCTTCTGAAACAGTGACCCGTGTATGCTTCACTATTTGGCAATCCCAGATACTTAGCAATCATGGAGGGTATTTTTCCGATCGTATGCACCCCGACAATTTGTGCAGTGCACTTTCCATTTTCATATCTCAAAAATACACGACGACTATTAATATTTTTTGGTCGAAGGGCTGCTTATTTGAGGTAAATTTTTATAAAATTCAAATTAGTGATTGTGAAAACGCGCTTCTGGTTAGTCTTAGTATCAGGAACTGTTACTATTAATACGGCATCTTTCTCCTGAATGTCATCTATCGTCATTTTAACTACTTCATCTCGCCGCAATGCTCCTGATATTCCCATAATCATAACTACCTGAAACAATAATTGTGATAAATACACCAACTAATCGAAAGCTTACTTTTTTAACAATTTACCTTCAACAATAAATAGTTTTCATCACAAGCTTCTTTCATGAACAAATCAATTTGATCACCCGTTAACACTTTCGATTTCTTTGCTTGATAACCTACAGACTTTTTTTTTCAGGAAAGGTACCACTTTTGAAAACTTCCTCACATCTATCCCTTCTCGTACGTTGAGCATACACTTTAACATGGAATAAATGCTCCATAAACTTGAACTCTTCAAAACTTTCGATTTCTGCATTAAATAAGCCAACAATATATTTTCAGACACCATTTTGACGTTTTGTTTGTCACACCAATTTTTGAACTCGAAGTAACAATTTTCATATTGCCGCTTAGATTTTTCAGGTATCAACTCAGAAATAGCTGATTGAACTACACTTTTTAGCTCTGGAGGAGTGCAAGAAGGTGAAATATCTGTATCGGTGCTGGACATTTTCACGATTTTTTGAGAACCGTCAAATTTTTTTGTTTTATTGTTTACATGCAAAATATGATATCCATAGAAACGCTGTGCCACCATAGCCACCAGGTTATATTATATCAAACTGGTAGTTAGTTCCACATGCTTGTTGAAAGAAGTAAATGTTTTCTGTAATTTCACATAATTTTCATGGTTGCACAAAAAATAGTGTGTATACCATGACCGCGAAACTTTTTAGAGTCCTCGAGATTATCTTGCCTCGGCCGCAAGCGGCCTCGGCGATAACTTTTCTCTTCATACGCTAAAAAGGCACTTCGCGGCCTTGGTATACAAATAACTATTAGGCGACTGTCACAAAAAGATTAGTTTTACCAAAGAATATTATAGACTAACGTCTATAATATTCTTTGGTTTTACGGATTCAATATCATCCCTAAAGTATATCTTTTTTGGCCGCATTTACTTTACGGCCGCATTTACTTCACGGCCGCATTTGCTTTATTACTTTACGGCCGCTTTTACTTCACGGCCGCTTTCACTTTACGTCCGCTACTTTGGTGAAAATAAACAAACAATCGGAAACGCAGTGCCGTAACCATCAACACAACGAATAAACAATTAGTTAGCAACCACAATGAAACCAAGATTTTAATTTTAGCTCTATCCAAATTTCCACATAAAATGCTGAAAAAAGCGGCATGATTAAAAATTTGGGAGAAGTATTTTCTCGCATTTTTTTCGGAAAATGCCAAAATTAAATAATCCTCAACGTTATGGTCTTCAGGTCCACCTATGTTATACTCTATGTTAAAATTTACAATTATAGTCGGAAATACCTAACATATCAGCAAATTTTCAAAATTGATTGCTTTTTTAAAAAAGCTCAATGTAAGATACCAGACGAAAAAGTCGGCTATTTTGATCAATAAAGTTTAAAGCTACTGTTGAATTTTCTTCTCTTTTCAAGAACAAACACTCGCCTAAAAAATTTTGTGTGCACCTCGGCCGAATGATCTTTTTTGGCCTCACCTGAAATTTGCTTGGCCTCGGCTGCGCCTCGGCCGCAAATTTCTGATTCGGCCAAAAAAGATCAACTTTACGGCCTTGGTACACAAATAACTATTTTAGGCGACTGTCACAAAAATATAGTTTTACGGATTCAATATCATCCCTAAAGTATATCTTTTTTGGCCGCATTTATTTTACGGCCGCTTTTACTTCACGGCCGCATTTGCTTTATTACTTTACGGCCGCTTTTACTTCACGGCCGCTTTTACTTTACGACCGCTACTTTGGTGAAAATGAACAAACAATCGGAAACGCAGTGCCGTAACCCATCAACACAACCAATAAACAATTAGTTAGTATCCACAATGAAACCAAGTTTTTAATTTTAGCTCTATCCAAATTTCCACATAAAT